ATACAGATCAGAATGATTCATTTTTTCCATGATCTTTTATTTCCTACCTAGAATGCCACAGTCTACTGGAAGGGGAGTTCCAGGAAAGCTATTTCTCCAGTGCCTAGGATGGTGCCTGGCAAGCAGCATACATGTCAGAACACATTGTTGAAAGAATGGAGATATGGACATATGATTGCAAGGACAGGTTGAAGAATGAATGCCTTTAAAGATATCTTGGTCAGATAGCCCAAGAGACAATGGAAGACTTGCTCTGATCTTAATAGGCATTTATCTCATAGATTCTGAAAAAGCATTTGACAAAATTCAACACCCCTTCATGATACAGACTCTCAACAAATTAGGTGTAGAAGGAAAGTATCTCAACACAATAAAAGTCATTTATGACAAGCCCACCGCCAGAATCATCCTGAATGGGGAAAAACTGAGGGCCTTTCCCTTAAGAACAGGAATAAGACAAGGATGCCCACTCTCTCCACTACTATGTAACATAGTACTAGAGGTACTAGCCAGAGCATTCAGGCAAGAGAAATGAGTAAAGGGAATCCAGATTGGAAAAGACAAAGTCAAACTGTCTCTATTTGCAGATGACATGAGACTGTATATAGAAAAACCTAAAGACTCTATCAAAAAACTCCTAAAGCTAGTTAATAACTTCAGTAATGTTGCAGGACACAAAATAAATGCCCCCAAATCAGTTGCATTTATATACTCAAATAACCAACTAACAGAATGAGAAATAAAGTAAGTCCGTTTACAATTGTCACCAAAAAAAAAATAAAATACCTAATAATCAGTTTAACAAGGAGGTGAAAGACCTCTACAATGAGAACTAATAACCACTTCTGAAAGAAATTAAAGAAGACATGAAAAGATGGAAAGATATTCCATGCTCCTGGATTGGAAGGATTAACATCATGAAAATGTCTATACTACCCAAAGCGATCTACAGATTCAATGCAATCCCTATCAAAATACCAAAGACATTCTTCACAGAAATGGTAAAGACAATCTTACCTTTCATATAGAACAACAAAAGACCCTGAATAGCCAACGCAATCCTGAGCAAAAAAAAATAAAGCCGGAGGCAAGGCATAACACTACCTGACTTCAAATTATACTACAAAGCTATTGTAACCAAAGCAGCACGGTACCGGTATAAAAATAGACATTCAGACCACTGGAACAGAATTGAGAACCAACCCAGAAATCACCCCTCAGGCTTATAGCCATCTGATATTGGACAAAGGCAACAAAAATCTACATTGGGGAAAAGACTGTCTCTTCAACAAGTGGTGCTGGGAAAACTGGATATCCATCTGCAGAAGAATGACACTAGATATGCATCTCTCACCACACACTAAAATCAACTCAAAAATGGATGAAAGACCTGAAACTGTAAAATTACTAAGGGAAAATATAGGTGAAACACTCCAGCAACTAGGTCTGGGCACAGACTTTATCAACAGGAGCCCAAAAGCACAAGCAGCAAAAGAAAAAATAAACAAATGGGACTACATCAAACTAAAAAGCTTCAGTACAGCAAAGGAAACAATCAACAGAGGGAACCAACAACCTGAAGAGTGGGAGAAAACTTTTGCTATCTATGCATCCGTCAAGGTACTAATATCCATAATATACAAGGAACTCAAACAATTATATAGTAAAAAAAATAACCCAATTAAAAATGGGCAAAGGAGCTGAATAGACATTTTTCAAAGGAAGACATACAAATGGCCAACAGGTACATGAAAAAATGCTCAACATCACTAGTCATCAGGGAAATGCAAATTAAAACTACATTGAGATACCACCTCACCCCAGTTAGACTGGCTATAATCAAAAAGACAGTGAATTACAAATGCTGGAGAGGGTGTGGAGAGAAGGGAACACTCCTACACTCTTGGTGGGACTGTAAATTAGTACAACCACTATGGAAAACATTATGGAGGTTTCTCAAACAACTACAGGTAGATCTTCCATATGATCCAGCAAACCCTCTTCTGGGTATATACCCAAAGGAATGGAAATCATCATGTCAAAGGGATACCTGCACTCCCATGTTCATCACAGCTCTGTTCACAACAGCCAAGACATGGAACCAACCTAAATGTCCATCGATGGATGATTGGATAAGGAAACTGTGGTATATATACACCATGGAATACTACTCTGCCATAAAAAAGAATAAAATACTCCCATTTGCAACAATATGGATGAGCCTGGAGAAACTTATGTTGAGTGAAATAAGCAAAGCACAGAGGGATAAATACCACATGTACTCATAAATGGGAGCTCAGAGAGAAAGAAGGAAAGAAAGACCACAGTAGTGCATGGACTTGCAGAGGGAGAGAGCACACCTATGGATACAAAGTGGAGTTGGGGGGAAGGGGAGCAGGGAAAGGAGGTTGAGGATAATTGGGTGGGGAACATGGGGTACAAATGCAATTTGTGGTAATAGGTATACAGCCAGTATGAATCTGGCCCCCACATCATGGGGATGAGGGGTGACAATCAGCTTTGTATGTCATGAATATTCCTAACCAAAAAAATTAAAAATAGGCATAGGCTGAGCTATTTCAGTGAAGACAGGTTTGGCTAGCCCTTCCTGCAGGCTATATCCACAGGGGTAAATGGAAGCAGCTGTCAGTCTGCTGGGCTTCTGGGGTGCTCTGAACAGGCAAATCTCACCAAGTGGCTTCTCCATTTTAAAACCAGTACCCGGTCTCCCTTTGCCATTAAGATAAAATCTGAACTCCTTCACGGGCCCTATCAGCCTTTCTGCTTACCTCTGGCTACTCTACTCTCACTCCACTGTCTACCTGCGTTTGACTTTTTCCAGTTCCTAAACACTATCATGCTATCTTTTGCCTCCAAGTCTGAACCCATGCAGTTCCTTCTGCCTCAAACTCACATTTTATCCACTCATGGCTCACTCTCCTTCTGACATCTAGTATGTATACACCCTTCAGGTATCAGCTTAAATGTCACTCACCCAAGAAGCTTTCTTAACAAATACCCCTCCCCAAATTTTGTCTTCCCACAGCTCTCTGTATTTGCTCTACCTTAGCATTTATTACATTGTAAGGCAGTTTCTGGGTCTCTCTCCCACAACCAGAATGTAAGCTCCAAGATGCTAATTTTAGTCTGTTCTGTTCACTGCTTTACCACCAGTGCCTAGAATGATGCCTGGCTAATAGCAGACACCCCATAAATATTTATTAATTTCCATATCTATACTGTATTAAGCTTCATGAGGTCAAGCCTTGTGTTGGTTCCTGTATCCTCAACAAAAGTACGTGTCTGGCACATAGAAGTTACTCATCAAATATTTACCAACTGAATTTATTGGATACTGATTACCCATTCATACATCATATAAATTAAGTACTTATTTCAAGATCTAATGACATTTCACCTTTATTCTATCATTGCTTCCAAATTTCTTGCTGCTTTTACATTCAAATTATTCACTTAGCAACACTTAAACATTTTCTCCTATCAGTGATACAGAACACCAATGATACCAATTTTAAAAATTTACTTACTATTTACCTTCGTTGTTTTATTAAAGTTATTGTTACCACTTATTCTGTGTTTAGAATAAGCCCACCAAAAGCCATCAAAGCCCAAACAGCAGGTGATGGAGTTTGGATGTGTTGTCCCCACCAAAACTCATGATGTGGAAATCTGATCCCCCATGTGGCAGTGCTGGAAGCTGTTTGAGTCATGGGGGCAGATCCCTCATGAATGGATTAATACTCTCTCTGAGGGGAAGTGGGATTAATGAGTGAGTTCTCACTATTAGTTCCCGTGAGAGGTTGTTGTTTAAAAGACCCTGGCACCTCCTCTCTCTCTCTCTTGCTTCCTCTCACCATGTGATCTGCTTGTACCCACCAGCTGCCTGCCACTTTCCACCATGAGTAGAAGCATCCTGAGGCCCATGCCAGATGCAGCTGTCCCAGAATCGTGAGCCAAACAAACCTCTTTTCCTTATAAATTACCCAGTCTCATCCATGAGTAGAAGCAGCCTGAGGCCCATGCCAGATGCAGCTGTCCCAGAATCGTGAGCCAAACAAACCTCTTTTCCTTATAAATTACCCAGTCTCAAGTATTTCTGTTATAGCAACACTAAATGGACTAAAACAGCAGGTATTAATATCTCTAACACTTGACTTTAAATCTTTCATCAGGAACACAAATCAGACACCTGAATTATATTAAATCTCCTTCGAACCACCTCAAATCACCTTTGTAAAGCCAAGTATGCCAACAAATAGTAGATTCTCAGAACATCAGCATACAATCCTACAATAACTTGAATAAAAGCTAACCTTGCAAAAATATCCACCTTTCCATTTTCAGAAAAACATGTATACAATTAAGTGGGGTGAGAAGGTGGGCAGGGGCAACAGAAACTTTATTATCTATAGGTTTCCTCTTTGATTTTACAGTATATAAACATAAACAAGCCCCTAAGACCTGGGGGTTCTTTGTTTGTTTTGCAGGGGGTTGGGGTAGATATCTGTCATTATATTTAGTATTTACCTCTCATTAATTCCATCAAGATTCATCAATTGTTGACTCTTCCTAACCAACTAGGCTATCAGGATCATTTAATTTTTACCTAGTGCATGAGCTGGTAATGTTGAAAGTGCTAAAAGTCTTAGAGCAGGATTAGCCAGTTGGGGTTTTTGCTAACTGAGGAGCAAACCTACAGCATTACTCTCACTGCTCATGCCTTTGTACTGAATGTTAGCAAGAGTTAAGACCATAGGCAGGTTGCATAGCAAATGGGATTGGAACTTGGGCAATTGCTATGCTGTCATAAACACTTTTGAAATTAATTTTAGCTGATTTTTAAACCACCTAGTTTCAGAAAGGATTTATGACAATGTCTAAAGGCACAGTAAACATAATCCAGCAAGATAAAAATATATATACAAGTAGAAATACAGGAGAAATAAAGACGGGGCATCACAGGGCTCTTCTCTTCTTACCTGTGTACTGCAACCCCCTGTACTCGCTTATTGCCCCAGGAGGTTTTAAATTGGGCCAGTAGTGGAAAAGCATTTGCACAGCTGGAGGTTTCACTTGTGAAGGCCCGTAGGCGATCACATACAAAAGATCCTAAGGGAAACATGAAGCATATTTTGACTTAGCATCATCAAATAAAAATAAAGGTATCTCATTCAATATTACCAAAGCAGTGAAAACTCCAATAGAGAGGTTGAGGTGGGTAATTTCCCTGGGATCTCATCATCCAGGATGCATTACAGATTAGATCACGTTTTAATTTGTTTATTGATCTGTCCGTAAATGAGCCCCCAGGTAGAGTTCAAAGAACACTATCTTTTAACAAATTCTTCTCCAATGAGATAATGTTAAAGATTTCAGAATAGCATAAGTCAGTTTGCCAAACACTGCATTTTTAAAAAATATTTTCCTAATCACATTTTGTAGCAATTCACATTTCCTATTAGAAAGAAGACAGATTCTCAACCAACCTTTCAAATTATATAAAACTATTTGTCATGAATATAATAACTGCTTAATTCCCAGAATAAGATACATCCAATTACTTTATGTCAAGACACTCTGTCCTTATAATATCATTTCTGCTTTAAGTGATAATTAACCAGTAAAGAATTATAGGTTTTGCCACATCAAAATAATAGGACATCAATAAAAACAACCTAAACAACATATTAAATGCAAACAATTTTTACTATATCATATAAATAAGTTTGTGAGGAGGGTTAAATTTGACCCAAAACTTACTTTCCAGACTTCTTGTTTATATTTCATGAGACATTCCAGTAATTGACAATGATATACTGTAAGGAAGAAAACATAATTTGTACATGAAACGTAAATACCAGACAAAACATTCTTTGAGATATAATAAACTACTTTGGTATGACTTTTCATACTAATCATTAAATTAGAAGTGACTTATCTCCTTATGTTTATACAGTACTTTTCAGAAATCATGTAAGCCCTTGACTTTATCAAGCTCTTTTCAAAGTATTTATTTACTCTATTGAGAAGTATTTCATACATCATATTAACAGAGGATATATTAAGAAAAGTCTCTAGTAATCATATTTCTATAACATAAACTTGTATCAATGTAATGAAGAACTACATAAGGGGAAAAAATAGCCCAATAGGATCATAAATAAAAGCTCATATTTATTGAGTATCCATGATTTGCCAGGTATTGTGCTAAGAGCTTTATATATATTATCTCATAACCACCATGTTACAATCAGGAAACTGAGGATTAGTTTCCTATTTTGCCCAGTGTTGAAGAGATAGCAAGTGACAGACTGATGGATTAGAATTGGAGCTTTACCATTTGATCATCAATTCCATCTTGTAAAAGAATTTTTAAAAGCTGCACAACAGCAAGCCTCCTTGATTTGCCTATCTTCACTTGGGGAAGATACAGTACCTTCATCCTAGCTAGGTGCCTGTTTGACACCTTCCTTAATCTATATTCCAAGCTTATCATGACACTGAAGCAGGTCTCACTTTCGTCACCAATGGCCTCTGTGGTGGTCTATCCAGTGGAAATTTTTCAGTGTGCATCTTACTTAACTTTTCAGCAGTACTCAGTACGGCTGACCATTGTCTCCTTTTTAAAACACTATTCCTTGGCCTCATGACATGACAAGAGTCTCTCCTATCATCTGTGGTGCACAGCGTTGTTGCTACTCAACTGCTATCAACAACCCTTTCTTCCTCATCCACCTGCCAATATACAAACTACGAAAGCAAGATACTTTCCCAGACACCCTTGCAGCTGGAGATAGCCATATGACTCAGTTCTAGACAGTAAGAACTAAGAGAGAATCTACTGGGGAACTTCTGAGACTTTTTTTTTCTCAGATAAAAGTAAAAAGGGACCAGGAAGCCTTTCTCTAATGACCTTGACTGATCCTATTACCTTTTTTTGGATGTGGTTATATGAGGAAATAATAAACTCCACTGTGGCAGCCACCTTGCAAACACAAGGGGGAGTCCAAAAGAAACACAAAAATGCCATCTAACCCCCCTGATATTGTGGAGATATCTTCAAGGCTTAATAGTGGGCTATTAAGTAAATGACAAACATGCTTGTAGTTTAAAGCCTCTGTTAGTCAGCCACAGAAATCCTAATAAATACAATCTCTCTTCTCCTTGGCTATCTCATCTTCCTCGACTGGGCCACTGTCTGCTGGAATTTCTGAAAGCTTGGTCATGGAACCACGCCACTTTTCATTCTATGCTCTCTCCTGAGCAACCTCACACTCATTCAACTTCAGTACCCATCTATGTGCAATTCACTGAAGGTCACTGGACACTTAAGTGTAGGCTCAAAGTTCTTTACCTCTAGTCTAAAGCTCTGTTCTGAGCTCCAGACCCACAATACAACTATATAATTACCATCTTCTCTTAGATGTCTCAAAGATACCTTGAATACAGCATGTCCAAAACAGCTCTCATGATCTTCCCTCAGAAGCCCGAAGTTCTTCCAGCAGTGCTTCCTTTATCAGTGAATAGAACCACCATGCACCAGCTATTGCAAGCCAGGAACCCATTATATCCAATATGTCACCAAGTCCTACCAATTTTACTCTCTAAATAGCTCTCAGATAGATCCACTTTTCTCAGTTTCAACTGCCCCTGCCTTTAGCATGCCCAGACAAATGCAGTGACCTCTTCTTTGGTCAATTTATATTCAATCTGGCCTCCTTTCAATCCATTCTCAACTGCAACCAGCTAGACACACACATATGCTCAAAGTTCTTCAGGGGCTTCCCATTGGACTCGGAGTAAACACAGGTCTCCCTAACACTGCCCCAACATCCCACACGTTCTGACCAATGGAACTCTAAGTCTCATCTCACACCAGGCAGCCCTCACTCTGAGTTCCAGCTACACTGATCCTTCAGTCTCACCTGCTTGCCAGGTGACATGAGATTCCTCTGCTCAAACCATCCTCCTCCCCTAGTAGGCCTTGTTAACACTGTTCATCCTTCAGATCTCAAACCAAAGGTTACTTCCACAGAGAAGCCATCCCTGACCTCCCCAATAAAAGCAAAATCCCTTTTTATAGAGACTCATAGCACAACACACTTGAAGCACTTGTTGCAATTGAAACTTTACACTTGATTTTATAATTATTTGATTAATAGTTTCTCCTCCCCCTCCCCCAACCATATGATAAGCTTCATTAGATAAGGGCAGCGGTCAGTTCTATTTTGCTAACCATAATGTCCCCAGTGCCTGGTACATAGTGGATACTCAGTAAGTATTTATTGACTAGTCACTCTAGAATTGGAATGTTGTTCTAAAGCCATCACTGACTTCTCAAATGCAGATGTTCCAGGACACTTTCTCTTACAGAGCGTCTGCTATTCTCCATGGGTCTGCTACAAGAATCCTGTTCAGGGCAGTCCACTGACTGCCCCATGAACAGACATGGAATGTCCCTTTGTTTAAACTGCTTTCCCCTCCCAGAATTCCCACTTACCCTATCAATCAACTCTGTCCATGTTTAAGAGCCATACTTTGCTCAAGTGACATAAAGCCTTTTCCAATCATTTCAATCCATAGAACTCTCTCCCTCTGATGAATTAACACTGTCTGCAGTATTTATTTGGCATTTTCCATGTACTACTTTACATTGCTATTTAATGATTTATGTGAATATACCTGATCTTCCCAGATGGACATAAGTTCCATAGCAAGCACCAAACCTTACATTTCTGTGTTGTTTTCATCATGCCTAGCACAGAGCCCTGTACATAGAAGTTACTCGATGAATGCCTGTTATTTGAGCAAGGACTGTGCTCTATCTGCCACTTTATGCTTCTCCCAATACAAATTCAAACATGATTATGCCCTAATACTTAGTAGCAGAGAGCCCCTGGCAAATACCGCCCCCTTCTTCACTCTGTTCCATATCACAAGACCCGTTTGGGGTCTCAAATGAATACAAATTCAAACATGATTATGCCCTAATACTTAGTAGCAGAGAGCCCCTGGCAAATACCTCCCCCTTCTTCACTCTGTTCCATATCACAAGACCCGTTTGGGGTCTCAAATGTAATTCCTAGTATAGAAAAGCTGTTTATAAACATCCCCCATGAACAAATGAAGATACAATAACTGTATCTGGCCATAGTAATTTTCCAGTGAAACATTCAACTTCAAGAAGAATATGGTAAATTGTCGAGATTAGCATTGCTGTTTATTGAGCATTTATAATGTGCCAGTCACTATGCTAAGTAAGCACTTCACATACACTTAACTCATTAAATCCTCACAACAACTTTTTAAAGTACTGCAAAAAGAATTATTCTCATTTTGCAAATGAGGAAACTTGATAGTAAGGAGGTTAAAGAACTTGCTCAAGGTTACATTAACTAGTAATTTGCAGGTGAGCTCAGGTGTGAATCCACATACATCTAACCCCAAACCACATGATTTTACCCACCCTGCTTTACTGCCTCCCAACTTGGAAATTAGGACTAAAGCCTCATGATGAGACTAACTAGATTCTAAATGAAAGGTTTTTTTCCCAGAACATAATATAGAATAAATACGACTGATATTTCGATGGTCCTATAAGCTAGAGAGAGTGAGATATGAGACTATAACTTCCCCCAAAAAACACATTTTCACTAAATTCATATAATAATCATAAGAGATTTCATACTTAAAGGATGTTATAGACTGACTGTTAGTGCCCCCTAAGAAGTTATATGCTAAATCCTAATCCCTAAGGTAATGGTATTAGGAGATGGGGCCTTTGGAAAGTGAATAGATCATAGGATTAGTGCACTTATAAAAGAGGTTCCAGAGAACTCCCTTGCCCTTTCTGCCATATGAGGACAGAGCAAAATGACAGCCATCTATGAACAAGGAAGCAGGCCCTCAGCAAACCACTGAATCTATCAGCACCTTGATCTTGGACTTCTCAGACTCCAGAACTGTCAGAAATAAATGTTTGTTGCTTATAAGCCACCCAATTCATGTTTTTGTTACAGCATCACAAATGGACTAAGATTGAAAATTGGTACTGAGAAGTGGGGTGCTGCTATAATGAATATCTAAAAATGCAAAAACAGCTTTGCAACTGGATAATAGGTAGGGGCTTGAAGAGTTTTGAGTTGCATGCTAGAAAAATCCTACACTGCTATGAATGGACCTTTAAAAGCAATTCTGGTGAAGGCTCAGAATGAAAAGAGGAGAGTTGTACAGAAAGTCTCAGTCTTTTAGAGAATAACTAAGTAATCCTGAGCAGAATATTGGTAGAAATATGGACAGTAAAGGCAATTATGATGAGGTCTCAAACAGATATGAGGAACATGTTATTGGAAACTGAAGGAAAGGCCCTCTTTTTTATAAAATGGCAAAGAACTTGGGTGAATTGTCTTCATGTCCTAGTGTTTTGTGGAAGGTAGAAATTTTAAGTGATGAAATTGGATATTTGGCTGAGGAAATTTCTTAACCAAGTGTTGAAGGTGCAGCCTGGTTTCTTCTAACTGCTTATAGTAAAATGCAAGAAGAAAAAAATGATTTAAAGACAGAACTGTTAATCAAAGAGGAAGGAGAACTAAAAGATTTGGAAAATTCCCATTCTATCTGTATTGAAAGGACGAGAAAACTTGTTAGGGAGAGAACACTGAGGGTGTAACCAAGTTAATAAGAAGATTAGTCAGCTAGGAACTATTGTCCAAAACAAGGCAAGAATGACCTCAAAGGCAATTCAGAAATCATCAGAGATGTCCCTCCCATTACGGGCCCAGAATGCAAGGGCCCTGTGGGAAGAATGGTTTCAAAGAAGAAGCCATTGGTACTTCTGAGACCTCAGGGCATGTCAACTGGCACTGCCTAACATTGCAGGCTCCAATTTTCACACTCCATAGATGTCCTAAGTGCAGCCCCTATTGCCCCAGTGCAGCATGCACTGCACCCAGCAAAGCTGGAGGGGTAGGTACAGTTGCCTTCACCTAGGTTTCAAAGGATGTCCAGGAGAGCCAGGACCCCACCCCCAGAGAGTCAGAAGCAAAGGACTGCAGCCTGCAACAGCAGGGCCCAAGCAGAGAACCACTGTAGGGGTGGAGTCACCATGGAAAGCCCCTACTAGGGCAATGGCCAGCAGGGACATGGAGGCAGGGCCACCCAAAGCCATAGGGGCAGGGACTTGGGGTCCCAACCCCTACCTGGCAAAGCTGTGGGGGCAGAACTACCATCCCAGTGGGTCCAGAAGTGGGGTCTCTGCCCCAGTGAGCCTGGGAGGCAGAGTATCAGGTCAAAGAAGATTATTCTTGAGCCTAAAGGTTTAACATTGCTTGGTTTGGGACTTATTTGGGACCCGTTACCTATTTCTTCTTTCCCATTTCTCCCTTTTGGATGGGAATATCTATCCTATGCCTGTCCCACCACTGTATTTTGGAAGCATTTAACTTGTCTGATTTCAGAGGCTCATAGCTAGAGAGGAAATTGCCTCAGGATGAATCATACCTTGAGTCTCACCCATATTGATTTAGATGATATGTACATGAGGTATCGGACTTTGCACTTTTGATTTGATGCTGGAACAAGTTAAGACTTTGGGGGTTACTGGGATGGAATGAATGTATTTTGCATGTGAAAAGGATATGAGTTTGGGGAGGCGAGGGGTGGAATGCTAAAAACTGAATGTTTGTATTCCCTGAAATTCATAAGTTAAATCCTAAACCCCAATGTGATGGTATTTAGAGGTGGCGCCTTTAGGAGGTAATTAGGTAATGAGGGCAGAGTCCTTATGAATAGGATTGGTGCCCTTATAAAAGAGGCCCCAGAGAACTCCCTTCCTTTCCACCATGTGAAGACACAGTGCCAATATGGCCATGTAGGAGCCAGGAAACAGGCCCTCACCAAACACCAAAGCTGCTGGCACCTTGCTCTTGGACTTCCCAGCCTCCAGAACTATGAGAAATAAATATTCACTATTTATAACCACCCAGTTTATGGCATTTTTGCTGTGGCAGCCCAAGCAAACTAAGACAAAAGATGACACTCCAAACTAAGGAGGATTAAGATTTTTGAAATGAAAAAAACTTTTTTCCTCATTGTGAGTAAAAAATTCAAAAATTGTTTATATGTAACTATGTAGATGGCTAAACACAGTGCCACCAAATTTGTTCACTTTCCAAATAAACATTAAATGAAAATAAAAATTGAGTTCATATATTAGTATATGAATCCAACAATCAGCCTCTTTTTAGGTCAGTTTCCCAAAGTTCATCTGCAATTATACTGATGAATAGAAACCAAACACAAGTAAGTCATGAAAACCTATCCAACATTACTAGTAATTAAAGAAATACAAATCAAAATGAGATATTATCTTTTATCTGTCCAACTCCTCTTTTTAGGTCAGTTTCCCAAAGTTCATCTGCAATTATACTGATGAATAGAAACCAAACAAAAGTAAGTCATGAAAACCTATCCAACATTACTAGTAATTAAAGAAATACAAATCAAAATGAGATATTATCTTTTATCTGTCCAACTCTGTACACATTTTTTAATACTCAATGACAGGTCACAATGAGACAAGTACTTTTATATACAACTAGTGGGAATATTGAAAATTTTTCAAGCCCTTTAACCCATTAATACCATTTTTATTAATTTATTCTAAGGAAATAATCACAAACGTAGTAAAAACTTTATGTTCAAGGATATTTATGTACCATTACAGTAGCAAATTCACTAAAATATTAACAGTGGTTATCTTTAATTGTTAGAATTACAGGTGATTTTTGTATTTCTAATTTAACTATTTTATACAATTATATTCAACCAATTTCCAGTCAATATTCTAAAATTATGTTCTCGAATATTCTAAAAATATCAATGGCCAGCAAGATCACTGCTAATAGCAATAGGCAAGGGAAATTTATTTCAACTCAAAAGTCTGTCTTCTAACACATCCTCAATTTTCTAGTCCATCAAGAGAAGTTCTCACATGAGAACTTCCAGCCTGCTTGTTTAATGTCTTCTTTAATTACTGGTTTTGGAATTAGTCAAGGCACACAAATTTCCACGTACCTGGATTGGATGTATACTGCATTGCAATCATTAGCATGGACGATGCAGAGAGATTAACATGGGCAGGAACGCCTTCTCTCCTTGAGGAACCCACTGAAACCAAAAGGTTTTTGATTAGACACAACTTAATCTCTGCATATACTTGCTACTTTACATAGAGTATGAGAGCTAAGAAGGAACTTTGAAAAAAAAGTCCCAATCCACAAAATTTGTCTTAGCATACTCATGCTACAGTTGCCACCATCCATAGTGAAAATTTACTGAGAATCTACAGGGAGGGACAACACCAGAATGTGATGTTTTATCAGAGTTGCACTTAGATGTGATCTCTACTCCCAAGATGTTTATATCTAGATGGAAAAGAAAGAAAAAACAGAATCCTCTATGTGCCCAAATATAAAAACATGGTGAAGTTTATCCAATAAGAAAGTAAAAAGAAAAGATTTTTAAACCCAACTTGAATGTATTAATTTTTAGATATGCAGATGAATTAATAGTTTACTTACAATATATAATTTATTTAGTTACAAATTTTAAATCATGTGTTATTAAAAACTAACATAGTAATTTAAAAATTGTTTTCAACTCTCATATATCATTAAACCATTTTATTCAAACCTTCACATGTAACTTAAATCATCAATGTCTTCAGTACTATGAGAACCATTTTTTAGTTTTCTAGAGCTTACCATCTTCATATCCATCTGAGTTGTTTGAAATAAAGCACTTTTTGCATTTGTGAATAACGCTGTTGCTGGACATTTTATCCTGTGCCAACAAGTATTCAATCAAAAGCAAGTTGGTTTCTTCAACATTCATCTTATAGCTGTATAATTATGGTCTCCACTTACATACTGCTTTTAAGTCATTTTAAGTGGTTTGTTTATAATGACATCAAACTCTGTATTAAATTTCTTTGTCTTTCCTTTTTAATAGGGTGTATCAGGTAACCCCTGTAAGTATTCAAAAGTAGCACGTATGGAAGTCATTTGGGGTAATATGTTGTCTCCAAAGAGTATTTTATTATTCCAAGCACAGCAATTGAGAGAGGGTCCACAATAGGAGAAACTTTACTAGGACTCAAATATAAAATGAATTCCTCCTTTCTCAGGGATAACTGCAGAAGTAGGAAAAACCTCTCCTTTTAACCAGGCTGTGTGGCAAACTGTCAAGCATGAACAAAACAGAGAATATAACACCCTCAAAAAGTCAATTTTCAATTTCCTACACATAATGGAGAAGACCACTGACATAGGCAACAACGAAAAACCAGATAATCTCAAAATCTGCTTTATTTTATTCTACATTAAAGTACAATATGTGGGGATTATATCTCACCTATATGCAAAAAGGATAAGATGACTTATATAATAAAACACACAAATGATAGAACCATTGAAACACTAATAAAAGATTTGTCACGTAATAAACTAGAGAAGACAAAGAAAATTTAACACAATTCCATTTTTGTTACATAAAGAACTCTGAACACTATATTGGACAGTGGCCTTTCCAACAGCTTTACTGAAATAAACAAACAAAAAAGATCTATAATTAAATTCTATTTACCCGAATTTGCTTTTATTAATGACTTGCAGCTGGGCTGTTGCTAACCTCCCCCCACCACCACCAAGCTGGTGATATTCAGGTAGATAAGTTAGTTTGGCTAGACAATATAAATAAGCATTAATAATTAGACAGAGGTGTGGAGATCAGTTCACTGCTCTTAGATGGTAAAGTCAATTGATTATGATTAATCAAATATGATTAACCAGGAAAAAGAACTTTGAGTCAAATGCTAAAGAATAAGATTTAGTTACTCTCAAACTTTAGCCAGGAAGCTTGTTCAAATTCAGTTTCTCGGGTACCCATATCTAGAGATTCTAACTTAGTCAGTTTGGAAAGCAGGAAACTATATGTTTAATTAATAAGCACATCAGGTGATTCTGATGCAAGCTGGCCTTGGACCTCTGTTTGAAAAGTACTACTAGAGGGATGAGAAACAAGAAAGGATACACCCAGGAAGGTATCCAGGAATGGGAGGAGTAATGCACGCCCCTTATGCCCTTTGTTTAAAAAAAAGAAAAAGAAAAGAAAGCCCAGTCTCAGATGTACTCATGAAAAAAGAACATATATATTCTATATCCATTCCTTTTGGGACCAGTGTTTTCACTTTTGTTTAAATTCATCTCAAATTTTTTAATAATAAGCATTTCTCAACAATGAAAAGTACTGTTAAGAGAGGCTGAGAATCACTGTGCCTGGAGGCCTTCGAAAATGGGAGAGATGCCCAAATGTTTCAAATGATTTAGGTGAAGTCTATTTGGAGAACGGCCCAAATGGCTCAGCGAGCTTTGGATGTCCCTGCTACCCCAAGAAATCCATGCTCTCCCTCGAATATGGCCAGCCATAAAACCAAAAGCATTTCCCTGGCTCCAGTCCTAGGAAATTGGCTCCAATGCTTATATAAACAGACAGTACCTTGCAATTTCCTTATAACAGACTGAATAAAATCACTGAAATTCTAATTTAATAAATATGCACAGGCACACATCATTTATTGAATCTTGTTAAAAAGGCATGATATAAACAGATGTGCAGCTTGTCCCTATGAGGATGTAAAAAGCCAAAACAACATACAATAAAAGGAAGAAGATAATCAAAATAAGATTTTTACATTTAATATTGTGCTCAAGAAATACAATTAAAAGTTTTCAGTCTTATTCCTCATCCTCCCAACACCACAAGAACAATCAATATCATGAATAGTAACAATACTTTAACATGTTCCTGCATTTTATAATTCCTAACGTATTATCATTCCTAATTATAATTCCTAATGTATTATCATGTACAGCTCTTATATGATTTTCACCCAAATAAGTAAACATATGGGAAAAGCCATTTTATAAAAGAGAGAACAAATTATTTGCATGAGTGCACCAATCTAATTATTAGGACTACAGTCTAAGTCACTCAGCTTCACAGTTAATGCTCTGGTCACTTATTCATTCATGAGGTTTTTTGGTTGTTTGTTTGTTGGTACCTCCTGTGTACCAGGCACTGTTCTAGGCCCTGTAGATACAGTGGTAAAGACGACAGACAGGTCTTTGCCCTTATGGACCTTAGATCCAGAGCTGTGTTATCCCATATTATAGCCACTAGCCATATGTGGCTGTTTATATTTAAATTAATTAAAATCAAATAAAATTAAAAATTCAGTTCCTCAGTCTCACTAGACACATTTCAAGTGTTCAGTAGCCACATGTGGCTAGTGGCTATTATATTGAGCAGCACAGAATTTTACAGAACATTTCCATCATCGCAGGAAGTTCAGTGGACAGCACTGTTCTAAAGGAAAGGGCGAACAGACACCTGTGAGAAATATAAAGCAGTGCGACAGAATAGATAGAAAGTGACAGGGGCCAGCCCCAGTGCGCCACCGGGCCGGCCCCCATTTTCATTTTTTAAAAAAAAGAAATGAAAAAGGAAAGAGCTAAGAGCTAGAGCCTGGACCAGGGCTGATGAACCAGGGAAAATTCTGGGAGATAAATCTGAGACCAGGACACACTGC